CTAACCACTCCTCTCTGCTGTTTTAACTTGCACCGGGGGTTTTGTTCTGCGTTGTGGCGTTGTTTTTTGTTTTCCCAGAAAAAAACAAGAAGTGGGGGGAAAAAAAGATTTTAAAAAGTGGGCCAAGATGTAAAAAAACATGCTGGTGACATCTCCAAGTTGCACTCGCATGAAGGCTGGTGTCAAACTTCACGTGGGCAGGGAGAGGGAGAAGGGAACGTGGAAAAGCATTGACTATATACGGCTTGGGAAGATGCAGGCTCATGGGTTGGAGCTGGGGAGGGACACATGATGGGCAGCAGCTCTGACCCTGGGGGGAAGCAGCCCAAGGAGAACCTTCAGGAACCGTCAAGAGGGGCTTGGTAAGGGGGAGAAACCCTGAGTTGCACTGAGAGTGGGACAGGATGGGATGGAGTGGGATGACTGTGTCGGGTGAAGTTGTGCAGAACGGCTCAAGTGCTCACTGTGCTGGTTTTATTTCACCATCAGGTAACAGTCAGAAGCAACCCAAGTGTGTAAGGTGTAAAAAGAGGGGTCAGATGCTAAAATGGGGTCAAAGCAAGGGAAAAGGAAAGAACTAAATGAAGTACCAGGCAGCTTTTCTGTGGGTGACCATAAATAGGTAGGGGCAAGGACATGTGCACACCCTTTCAGCATGAAACTAGTCCTGGGATTAAACGAGCAGCTCAAGGTGCTGTGGTGAATACAAGGAGTGAAGATATTCCCAATTTCCTTGGGAAAATAAGGAGAGGGGAGAGCCTGAAACATCTTAGGAGAGGACTTACAAGTGGTTGCCCAGCATGTTCCTCTTCGTGGCCCCCAGGAAGCTCATCAGGTTGGGATCCGAATGCTCATCTCCTACCATGGTGGGACCAACCTCCTGCAGGGAAAAGCAGCAGAGTGGGTGAGCGATGTGCAGCAGCATGGCCACGGAATCACAGAATGCCTCGGTTGGAAAAGCCCTCTGAGATCATCATGTCCAACCGTTCCTGTCTACCCCCTAAACCATATCCTTAAGTACCTCATCTACCCACTCTTTAAACACATCCAGGGATGGTGACTCCACCACCTCCCTGGGCAGCCTGTGCCAGCTTCTGACGACCCTCTCAGTAAAGAACTTCCTCCTTAGCTCTAACCTGAACCTCCCTTGGCACAGCTTGGTGCCGTTTCCCCTTGTTCTATCCCCCATCCCCTGGGAGAAGAGACCAGCACCCACCTCTCCACAACCTCCCTTGAGGCAGTTGGAGGTGGGGATGAGGTCTCCCCTCAGCCTTCTCTTCTCCAGGCTAAACAAGCCCAGTTCCCTCAGCCGCTCCTCATCAGGCTTGTTCTCCAGAGCCCTCCCCATCCTTGTGGCTCTGCTCTGAACACGCTCCACAATCTCAACATCCTTCTTCTAGTGAGGGGTCCAGAACTGAACACAGCACTCGAGGTGCGGCCACCCCCCTTCCCGTTCCCCAGCAGCTCCAGTAAGCGCTTTACTGGGAAAGGGATTACTGTGAGCCACCTGCCCTTCCCAGGAGAGAGCCTTGGTGGTTTTGCTCCTGGAGGGAGCTGCTGGCTGAGCTCACGGTGTCTCTGGTCCTCTAGGATCCATGACTGAGAGGTCTGTAGGACAGCAGCAAGGTGCTACTCACAGCCTCATTGAGCAAAACCAGCAAATCTGTGTGGTTTACCATGAAATAAGCATCCTCAGGCCGGTTAGGGACCATCTGCCTGTCCTAGTAGAAGACATCTTTGGGAACAGCTCCACCAGCAGGGAAGAGTGAGAAGATTGGGGTGAGGAAGGTGCCATGGGGTGACTGAGGCAGATGAGCACCCATGGGACGGCAAGGGACAGGAGACTGGGGAGGCAGAGATGTGAGTCATCTCAGCACCAAGCCACCAGGGAGACTTCCCACACATTGTATGAGGGGAACAGAGACATTTCTGCACAGCGGTCTTCCAAAAGTGTTATTTTATGAGATGTTCCTGGGCTGGAGGTTTTTCAGAACACAGCAGGTAGCGACAGTACCAATGCAACCTCCACAATGATCACCCATCCCCAACCCAGCCCCAGCACTGCTGGGGTGGGCAGCACCCAGTGACCCTGCAACGCTGGGACTGGAAGCACCAGCAAGCCCAGCCCTGAGCATCATCCGTGACTACGAGGGCTGGTGAGTGGGAGAGGCATCACCCACGCTGTGAGACCCACAACCCACCCCTCCTTGCTCAGCCCTGCTGGGGGTACTAAGACCCTCCATGCTCTAGAACCTCCCTCTGCTCCAGGCTATCCCCGAAAGATGCAGGATTTCATTGATTTTAAGAGGTGGAACATTTGTTTCCTGTTAAATCTCCACAATACACATGAAAAGTTTGCAGGTGAGAATTATTCTTCCTAGAGTTGTCCCACACCCACCTACAAACCTACCCCACGATATTACCAATGCTTTATAACATGCAAAGCACCTCCCAGCCCAAAATAACCTCAGGAATATGTTAGGTATCACCCTTTTGGACCCCTCTCTTCTCTGTCACCCCATGTAGAAAGCAAAGCCCAGGGCCAGTTCAAGGGCCCCTCACACAGAGGTTGCACGCTGAGGTTTGTGTGCTCCGTGGTACCCAGTGGTGTGAACCCCTTGGGTGTGGGGCAGTAGGACGGGAAGCCAAGCACTGTGACCCACGGCGAGGTTAGTAACGACATGGCCAGACACAGAGGGCAGAGAAAACAGAGAATTTCTGCTTGGCTGGGAGAGCTGAGGTGGCTGGGTTGGGGAAAGCTGGTGGGTGAGGACTGAACGCAGCAGAGAGGGTGAAATTGCTCCCTGGCAGCGTCCGCCTGCACCCCAGCGCCGGCAAACTGCGCCTAAACCATGAGCCTCCGCTGGATCCCAGCTAGAAGCTCGTACGCAGCACCGCTCATCAGACATTTCAGCGAGCTGTGTGAGCATGCAGGCACGCTCCTGCCTGGGCTGCTGGAGCAGATGGGCGCTGAAGCAGAGGAAAAGCCTTTGCTGGCTGTGCAGCCCAGCACTGTGCACCCCACAGGAGATGTCCCAGGGAGGGAGCTACTCGTCCCTGCCCCTGTGCTGCCAGGAAAACGTGGCAAAGTCAGGCTGGGCTGTTTCCAGCCGCCGTTTGAAACCAAGGTTCAGGTTGGAAATGTTTGCTTTGCCTTGCTGACGAGCAGAATTTCCAAAGTCTGTGGAGGGAAACGTGCTAAGCTGTGCTAATCCAATGTGGCATGTTGTGTGCCTTTCCCTAAAGTGCTAAAAACCCCAGACCCCGACACATGGTGCTTCGTGTATCCTTTGCATGTCCATAATTACTTCGTCAACTTGTACAATACCAAATCCCACTGCCAACAGAGGCTTTGGTGCTGCCTCATCCCCACACGTCCTTGTTCTCAATTCACTTGGTTTGAGACGCGTACGTAATGGGACATCTTCAGCAGCAGCAGCACCTTTCACCAGACTCCTGCCAGCTTGCTCATTTGCTTTTTTCCCACCATTACCTGCTTCCTATCACAAAACCACAGCGTCATAGTTTGGCTTTCAGACATATATTTCCCTTTTTTGTGTTGGGAAAAGGGGGGAAAGAAGCAAACACACGGCTATCTGCTGTTGCAGCAGGTCAGCAGCAACTGCTCTGTGGGCTGTGGATGCTGCAATCATTGGGAAGAAACACTTCCTTTAGATCTTTATACAAGAATAACGGGCTGAGCTCTCAACCCAGCCTTCCCTGCCACTGCTTGGGCTGCTGCACAACACCCCTGCTGCCAGGGATGCCCTTTTTGGCTACGGCTGCATTTTCCACCATGAAATGGCTATTTGGGCAAGAGGGAAAACCTATCATGAGGGGGAGGGTTAGACCAGATGATCTTCAAGGTTCCATCCAACCCAAAACCATTTTATGGCTCTGACACGTGGCCAGAGATTGGTTTATTTGATGTTAATGGGATGCTACAAGTTTCCCCAGTCTTGTTGCTTGCTGTACAAAAAGGGAGGTTTAAGAGGGAAGGAGCTGATGTACGGGCACCCAAGCGCTCTTCTCTTCCCCGACACTCGGGCAGGGAGCGAGGGGAGGTGCAAGGGCAGTTGTGCACAGCGTGCTCACACTGGACACCTCACACCAGTCGCCAGCAGCCTGGACACAGCGTGGCCGTACCGGGGGTCCCCCAAATCTGAGCATCGCACCCCCCAGCAGCAGGTACAGCCCAGCAGCGAGGGCAGCCAGAGGCAGCGATGCCTGGTGCAACCCGGGGCTCATCTCGGTCCTTGCTCATCCCGGCGGCGGCACCGCTCACCGTCTCCCCATCCCATCCCCGTCAGTCCCCTCCATCCCTGTCCCCCCATCCCCGTGGCGGGGGCAGCGGGGAGGCGGACTCACCATGCGGATCTGGGTGCTGATGAGCAGGTACGGCATTGTCCCGCCGCTTTCAGCGCTG